CAGGCGCGGTCAACCGCCCCCCGCCTCAGTTTCTATCCAGGGAACCGCCTCGAGGGCTGTCACGGAGATAAAGCGAAATGCTGCCCAGCAGGTGCGCACGCCTTCGACGCCGCTCTTACCAACCCCTGGCGGGAGGGCGGAGCGCCGCCTGAGGGCCGGCCGGGCCGGGCTGGGGAGGCGGGGTCCTCTCTATGGTCACGAGCGGCCGCTCTAGGCAGAGCAGCCGAAACTCCGTGGCACAAAGCCTCCGCCCGGCCCGCTTTATGGCCCACAGCGGAAGACTGTTTGGCTAGCAGGAAGACTTCCGCTCCCACAGCCAATCGCAGGCACACGCCCAATATGGCGCCGGCCAATAAGGACACTTCCGCTTCCGGGGGCCCACTTCCGACCCGGAGCCGGGGCAGAGGCAGACAGAAGAGCTGGCAACACCGGAGACAGACAGAAAAGAGGAGACGCGAGCGAAAGAAAGAGCGGCGTGGAGGCGGCGCGGCGTCTGCTACTTACTGTAGGAGTAGCTGCTCACTTCCGAGGCGAACGGGGAGTGGGCCGACTTGGGCTGGCCCCTGGCCTTGAAGCCCACCTCCATCTTCCTGGCCTTGGCGGCCCTTTTGTGTTTACCTTCTCTGGACGCCTTCAGAGACAGGCCGAGGCCTTTGGCCAGCGCCTTCCTGTCCTTGCCCAGCAGGCTGTCGTAAGGCGTCAAGTACCTGCTGCAGCCCCCGCTCGGTTTGGATTTCCCCCCCGAGCTGTCCGAGAACTTGAAGGGGGACTTCAGCTTGTCCTGCTTTGTGAGGGAGAGGGCCTTGTCCAGCTTGCTGGCCAACTGCTCCTGGTCGCTGGCCATCTTCTTCTTCTTAATCTTTAGCTGCAGAGGGAAGGTGGGAGTCCAGCGTTAAGACATGTGACCCAACAGGGGAGTGGGGGCTCAGCGCACGAGCCCTGAGGGACCCGACTCCACGTCTTCCCCCTGCCTCTGTGGCTTCTGACAAACTGCTTAACTCCTCTTAGCGTCAGTTATCCTGCTCTGTAAAACGGGGATAATTGTGGACAGGCACCACAAGCTTGCTCTGAAGATGAAGAACCGCAATAAGGCACAGGGAGTGCTTCAGCAAACAGCCAGCGACAAAGATTGCTGGCACCGGCGTTTCCACTCTGGCCCTCCGGTGCTGTGTGGTGCCTCCTCGGGAAGCACTGTAAGTAACGGGCACTGCCAAGGAGCTGGAGAAACCAGCTGGATTGAGGGAGGTCGGCAACCAAGATCGACACCCAAATCGTAGCACAGCCGATCTGCTTATCTCAGCCACCTAAAGCAGCTGACAGAGAAGCCTAATCAGCCCATCCAACTAAGGGGCCGAAGCTGCCAAGAAAATGCCTGGAGCGTGCCTTGGATGCCTGAAGCAAAGAGATTAGAGATTTCAAAGATTAAATTCCTGCTTTCCTTTTCTCATCAGCTGTAGTCATTGGTTGTTGAGCTGAAACGTGCAGTTTCGAAGCCATTAATGCGCCTCATTTGAATATTTTACCTTGATTTTCTTTCATCAGATAACATTTCATCAGGAAAAAAAAGTTGGGATAGTGTCATTTAAACAACAAAAGTATCCTTCACAACCTGAGAGTATAAAGGATCTGGTGTACAAACTGGCTCTCTTCTCTACCCCTAGATCCCTGACTTGAGGACTTCCCTCTGAGGGCCAACCCAACCAAAACAGCCCCTCACACAGGGCTTTACAGGATGACAAGGTACGTTAGTATTTAGAGGCGAGGGCTTTAAGTGGATGATTTCAATGCTCTGCAGAAATAAGACAAATCAAGGAGCTGGCGCTCACCCCATTACCTCTGGAGAGTTCACAGAGGAAATTACAATGGCATCAAGCCCTTGTTTCTTAGAACTACAGAATGGAGAAGCTCCTCATTAAACAATTATACTGTTAAACAACAGCGTAATTGCATTATCTGGTTAAAAACCTGCAGTCTCCCTTCTTGGCTTCAGCAAAGGGTCATGGAGCACACACACGGGCTGTAAGTTTCGGTCTCAGCTTTGCCTGAGGCTGTGCCACTTTGGTAAGTCTCTGAGCCATTAATTTCCTCCTCTGTCCAGCAGGGCAGGTTGGCGGCACTGAGGCAACCATTTCTACAGTTTCTGTGCAGCAGCAGGGAAGACAGACCCGCAAAGGGAGTGTGAACTCCACATCCCCTCCAGACCTGCTGGCTGAGATGGCAGCACATCTGGAAGTTGGGGTTACTGACCTGACTCATGAAGTCTGACGGGGCTTCCTGCTCGTCCCAAGGCTGGCTCCTCCCCCTGGCCTTCCCCGTTGCAGCGAGGGCATCGTGTTCCTCCTCAGGCCCCTTGTGCCTCTTCCTGATCCCGGCTCCCAGCTCGTAGGCATCTGACACCAGCAGGGGCTTGCTGCTCAGCCTGCAACCAGAGGCACCACTGGTCAGCACCACGTCCAGGCAGCACTCGGGCTGGGGTCCGCCCTCGTGGCCCTGAAGGGTGGGCTCTGGATGTTGAAGCACAGACAGTGATGACATTGACGAGTCTGGGGACACAGATCCTGTAAAACTACAGTGCTGGGATTCTGGGATATTTGTGAATGGGAAAGAAGAAAAACTCCTCCAAGGCGGCATCCTCTGCTGGCCTCTTCTCTCCCTTTTCCCTTCACACACGCTCACACACACAACTCTGCACGGTCAAATGCCTCTTTACCAAAACGTGCCAAGAACAAAGATCAGAAAAGCCAAGGAAGTCTGCCAGCATGAGCGGGTGACTAAGATCAAGAGCTTACATGAAGGAAGAGCCCCTGGCCAGTCTCCTTACTCCTGGGAGTGTAAGCAGCCGGGACGTGGTCCCGTTTAAGGCTTCTCTTGGCTGCTCTAAGCTAAACCCTCACAAGTAGTAATAAAAGCAGCTAATTTTTACCTGGTGCTTACTATTTGTCTCCTTCCACGTTAGTGCTTTATATTTTAGCCCCAAAACAATGCTTTGCTGTATGTACTATTTTTCATAGATGAGCCTGAGGCTCAGAAAAGCCAACACCTGGCCCGAGGTCACAGCACCTGGCTGATGTCACAACAAGGGTTGGAGGTGGAACTCAGAAGCAGGAGGTGCAGCCACCTCCGGGGTGCACACTCCTAACCAGTGGGCCCACGTGCCACTGGCCCCAGTCCCCTTCCCCAGGAGCTGCTCTCCTTACCCCGGGAGTGTTTCTTCCTCCCCATCCTCCCCTCAGTCAAGAACACCCAGGGATGTTCAATGCAATCCCCGGGGGCCCTGGGGCTGCCTTCTGAGGAGACCTGTGGCAGACCCACCGACTCCGTGCCTTTTGAAGGCATCCTGTGGCCCCACTTCCTCAAGCCAAGCACTGGGTGCCCAGCGTCACCTGCACTGATGTTGCAGGCTGAGGCACACTGCACCCCTTCCTTTGATGGGCCTCATTCAGCTCGTGCTGCTCCCGACACCCAGGGAGACCACAGCTTCTTTCCTATCCACGCCGGGCCGGGAGGAAAAGCTCTCGCTCTGGCCGGCATTCAAGAAGCCCTTCGGAGGGGCCCACGTAACTTCTGCTGCCGCTCAAGGAGCTTGTCCCCAGGATGCACGAAGGAGGTGGCCCAGGTCTCGGAGCAGGCTCAGAAACGATGAGCCAGCAGGTCAGGCCAGGAGGGCGGAAATGACACTGTCCAGCACACAGGGAACCGAGTGACGGCGTGAGCTGGAGCCCACCCCATAGGACTGGAAGCTCAGCTGGCCCTCCACAGGGAGGGGGGCGTGGAGAAGAGCATGAGTTGGTGCCAAGCCACGGAGGAAGCAGGCGTGGCAGGACAACGGGTGAAAGAAGCGCTTGGGTGACAGCCTGGAAACCTCTCTCACTGGGTCACCCGCCCACTCAGTCCTGGCTGGATGGGTCTGCCTGTCCGATCCGCCACTCGCCTGGCTCACCCTCCGTGCTCCCTGAGAGCTACCAAACCGGGTGGGTTAGCGCCCAAGGGACTCGGGGTCCCCGGCGCCCAGCCGCAGGCCCTACTTGGGCCCGCACTCCTCCCCTCCGAGCTCTGTGCCAGTTCCCGACCCACCGAGGGGCCAGCCTTACTTTCCGCTACTGTTGCGGCTCTTCCCTCTCTTGCGGGGGGGCGACAGGGCGCTCAGGGCGTGGGTCCGTTTCCGCGGCCTGCCAGGGCCTCTGCGTGCCAAGCTTCTATGGGGTTCCTCGCGCCTGTCCCTTAAAAAGAATCACACGCTTGGCTGTGAACTGGGGGGCAGACGATGCACCCACCTCACTCGGGTCCACACACACTCTGCCGGCCTACCACAGTGGACCTACTGAGCGCCAGGACCTACTGAGCGCCAGCCTGCACGGAGCCCGGCGGGCGGGCCGGGAGGGCGGGGGGCACTCACTCGGCCTCGCGGCGCCGCTGCAGCTTCCCCAGCTCCCGCTGCTTCTCCTTGTACTGCCGCTGCACCTCGGCCAGCCGCATGCGGAAGTCCAGCTCCAGGGCGTCCATGTGCTCCAGCGAGGACTTCATGGCGAACATCTGGGGGGAGAGGCGGCGTGAGGCCGCCGCCTCGTCAGGCACCCGGTGGGGGGTGGCGAGGCTCCACAGCCAAGGCCAGACGCCCAACTCCAACCCCACTTCTGCCACCAACTAGCTGTGGCCCTGCGCAAAACGCAGACACCTCATCTGCACAACAGGGACGAAGAGACCAACTCTGCCAGCCGGTGAAGGCCACCTGGCCCTTAGCAACGGCCCGAACAGTGCGACTGCCACAGTGTCTGACACAGGTGGGGGCTCAGACACGAAGCCACTGCCACGGCCCACAGGAAGCAAAGGGCACAGCCAGCTCTACTGCCCCCATCCATCAGGCTGTCGCCCACGGGATGCCCTTGAAGCCTTATCAAACAGGCAAACAGGCCCAGAGAGGGAAACTGCCCGCCCAGTCCGCACAGCCAGCGAGTCGGCGGCGGACGCTGCACTGATCAGCCCTCCCGACTCCAAAGCCGGCCACGCCCCAGGCAAGCTGGCGTCTGCCCCCCACACAGGCCACGGCAGGAACCGTGGGCATGAACCCCTCACCCGCTCCTCCTTTTTCTGCATCCAGCTGTACTTCTTGTTGGGGTTCAGCTCCCGCGGGAGCCGCAGGCTCTTGAGCGGGTCCACGAAGGGGCCGTCCAGCACCTCCTTCAGCATGTGGCTGCTGGCCGCCAGCAGGCTCTCCAGCGAGGGCCGCACGGCCAGGCCCCGCTCGGCACCTGCACACAGGAGGCAGGTGAGCTGCCCGCCTCGCCTCTGCTCCTGCGGACAGGGCTGTCGGGCACTGCAGCCAACCCCCCTTGGACTCCCCACGGGGGAAGAAGCCCAAACTGATCACCTATTAGACTGCTACCAAATGAACATGAGTGTTAACATGATTGTTTTCTGTGATGTAACACATGACCCTTTTTGTGAACGCCCGCTGTGTGCTTCTTTCCTGCCAATGTGTACAGTTCCACGAAGCTGCCAGTAATCATGGCACCAGGTGAGGGCTCTCAACCCTGGGGCTAGGTCCTCTCCAGGGGGCCCCTCTGCTGCGGGGCGCGGTCCCTGGCCGCTTGCAGGACGTCTAGCTGCATCCTGGCCTTTAGCCACTAGGTGTCAGCAGTGCTCCCCGTGAGCTGTGGCACCAGCCCTGTCAATGCCGCGGAGAATCACTGGTTTTTGCTCTTCTCTGTCCGGACGGAAACCGAGGCCGCCAAGTGGTGACTCCCATCAGCTCTCGTGAGGGGTATCAGAGGAAAACCTGTGGCCCACCCTGAGGTGACACTCTTTAAGACCCTCATAAGATCCTTAGTTGGGTAAGTATGCTCCAGGACAGAGGAGGGGACCAAGCAGGGCTCTGTCACCATCATCACCCTCCAATGAACCAGTCTTACTGGGCTCTCAGGACTGACAGTGCAGCACAGCCTTGGTGACCCCAGTGCCAGCTGCTATGGGTGACTTGTGTCCTCCCATGTTGAAGTCTGAACCCTGGTACCTAGAATGTAACCTTATTTGGAGATAGTCCTAAAAAATGTGATCAAGTTATAGTGAAGTCATCGGGGTGGCCCTAATCCAATATGACTACATCCTTTTAAGAAGAGATTAGGACACACACACAGAGGGACAACCATGTAAAGACACAGGGAGGAGACGTCCATCTACACACCAAGGAGGCCGGCCTCAGGAGCCAACCCTGCCGACACCTGGATCTCAGACTTCCAGCTTCCAGGACTGGAGACACCCCTTTACTAAGGTGAGGGTGACCTGGCTGGCGGCTCTAGGAAGTGGCATAGGACGTGGAAAGAGTTTCACCTGCTTACCCGCAGGGCGATCCACTGCCCAGCTCTGCAGGGAAACCAGAGGGGACTGATGCTCAGTTCCATCAGCAACTGCGGGGAAGAGAGGGCCGCCAGGACCCCTGCACCCCCACCCCTGCCTCAGGGTGCACTTGCCAGCCTCAGCTCCGCCCCAGCCCCGGAGCTGCAGATCCATGCCCATGCACAGCACTAAAGGGCATCTTGGAGGTCAGTTCCAAACCTGCCCCCCACCCCGCTTCCTAAGCTCAGAAGCAGGCCACACCCTTGGATGGTCTGTCCCTCCACATCCCCATCCAGTCCATCAGCAGAGCCTCCTGGCCCCACTTGAACTCCCCCCAAAACCCTCCTGCTCTTCACCTCTGAGTCACCCACACCCCGGGCCTAGATCAGGCCTCGATGGGATCCCGTCTCAATCCAGGAGCCTCCCCCGGGTCTCCCACCTCCCCACAGCCCCCACAACCACCCTACTTAAGCCTGATCCTATAACTCCAGCTCAAAACCATCTTCCAATGATTCCATTTCACTCA